GGGACGGCGGTTCGGCTCCGGGCAGGACCCCCAGGCCCCTCGTTTCCCCGCCTTAAGGACTGCTGCCCCCTGCTGCTGCGGCAGCAGTGGCTGGAGAGGAAGGGGAAGACGGTGGTTGATAAAGCGAAGGCCCCAGAGGGAGGAGCGACCCCCGGAGCGGGTCCCACCTGGACGGGTGGAGGTGCGCCAGGGATGAGGGTATCCGCTGTCCTGCTGCGTAGCGCCTGGCTGCACATGGGCTGTGGGGGATTGCCCGCACAGGAAGGAATAATCGCGTGCTTACGGCCTTTGAAAACGGCAGCGATTTCTGCGGGCAAAATGACACGGCTGGTTGCCACTGAAGTGAAAAAGAGCATGAGATGTCACCTTGTCTGTCCTCCGGGAAAGGGGAATTGCTCTGGAACTGGGCTGATGGTGAAATAAATCAAACGGCCGACAGGAACACGTGAATCGCAGACAGATTGCACTCGTCTCTTCCTGGGGAGATCACAGAACAGCTGGGCAAGACAAGAAGATGTCGGCACACATGGACTCGGCCTTTGTAGCTGCCCGAGGTCAGAGGCTGCTCCTGGTGCAGCTGTTGTTGCCTGATAAGGTGCATGAGAGGGGGGCGGAAAGCCATCGGGCAGAGAAGAGAATCAGGAAAACCCCATCCCGCTCCTCCCCCGTGCCTATCTGACGCTGAGGCCTGAATGCTGGACTTGTTATCCCATGCGGAGTGTTAGGTGATTTTTAGGGAAGGAAGGAAGGAAGCAGATGATTAGACATATCGATAGAAACGATAGGGCAGTGCTGAAGGGATGGGCAGGGCTTCTTGCAGGGCAGCAAGGAGCACGTCTAGTAGCGCAGCTTAGCTGCACGGCAAGTAGGGCTCAGCTGATCCAGGAGGAAGAATAAATCCCATGGATCATTTTACTTGCTCTCTACTTGCTCCATATTTGTCAGCATAGCACAGATGTGGAAAAGGGTTAGATTACCAAAATAAGGGAGAGGAGGGATTATTAAACCATACACACTGCTGAGCTCTTTTGAGAATCTGTTTGCTAACAGTGGTACCAAACTTGCACTATTTTGAGGATCTGGCCTTCTTATCGAGTGCTGGCTATTCATGCTGAGTGTTCCCTTAAAGTGAAAAAGTTCTTTAAAGCAGAGGAAAAAGAAGTACCAGCATTTACCATTAAATTCACAGCTGTTTTAACAGAACAAAATTTTCAAGAAATCTACTGATTTCTTCAAAGTTTTCAATATGATCCGTGAAAATTATGCTTAAGTGTGCTAGTGCTTTGAAGGGCAGAAATGTACTAGATTCTGCTGTTTGCCATGGGAAAAGAAGGTGAAGTTCGAGTAACAGCAAATAACCATGGGTGCAAAATTACTCTTGTGCTCTGTTGATAACTCGTCTGTCTTAATCTGATTTTGTTTGCAACAAACCACTGTGATAAATCTCAGTTCATAGAACTGCCCACTGCTACCTCTGCAAATCTTTCCTAGAGAACTGCTTTGCACTGTGAAAATTAATTACTGCCTGCAGTTGCATTGTGCAAATTCCTTATTTGTTCAGCCCATTTAGGCACGCTTTCTTGTAAAATGTCACAGCACACTGTTCCTTCTCACCAAGAAAAATACAACTGTCACACTGTCAAATAACTTTTTTCTCCCACTATCAAAAGAAAAAAGCAAAATAAAGGATCAGTTTCAGACCAAGAAAAGTATCCCAGGAAGTAGGCTGGAGGCAATTAATTACTTGTCAGCATCTCCCTCAGATCTGCATAAAGTAGAAAAGGTGCCTGTTTGGCTTTGTTCTGCTCTTTGTATTGCACTAGTCTACTCCTTTCCTGACAATGTCCATCAGGCTGGCATCTGAATGCCTGCTAGATATTGGTACATCAGGCTTGCTCTGTCAGGTTTTCCACTGAGATACTTCAGCATGACCCATCTGAAGATCATGTGTTTCTTCTGATTTGTATCATGTTAGATCTATTGCTTTTAACCATGGTCTCAGAGAGAGGAGTATTAGTGTGCATTTGTCTCTCTGTGTGCAAGCTGGTGATGGCTGTTAGGATGTGGATGTGCTTTTCATCCAGTCAGTCACACACAGGGGCAGATGTGAAAACCCAGAGGTATACCCAGACAGAGGCGTGTAATCCTTAAACACAGAATCAGCCATGTGTGCTTGTACGTAGGCTTATATGCAAAAATAGATGCAGCGATAGGAAATCCACATCTCACATCTGACCATGTATGGACACAGTCCAAATGTCCTTACAGTCATCTCTAACAAGACTGCTTTCTTGCTTTTCCCTTCTCAGCTACATGTGCGTAGAGATATAAAAGTGTACGGCAGGGAGACAGCCTGCTCTGGGTGATGCTCCTCCAGGTGCTGATAAATTGCATACAGGAGCAGACCCCTCAGCCACGGCCCCATCACTTCAGGAAAGACGGAGGCTTGCCAGCATTTGATTGCTGGCAGTGGGCTTATATCACATGGCCTTTGACAGGTCACTGCTCCCCGGAGAGAGCAGATACATAATGCAGGAATGTGCAGTCGCTGGAGGGCTCATGTGGTTCTCATCAGCATCCCAACCCTCAGCGGGTGGGACTGCTCTCCCACACATAGCTTTTCAGTGTGTCAGCACCCCTTCATGAAGCCATAGGCTGGCTCTGCTCATCTTCCTCGGCTGGCCTCTGTTGGTGGAGTTTACAGCAGGTCAGATGCTCTGCCTCCTTGAGTCACAAAGTGACAGAAGCACTTGTTACTTGCCAGATTTTCTCTCTCCCAGAGTGTCTCTTAAGTTTCCACTTTGATTTTCTGGCCAGCTTTTCCTTCTCTGCCCTGTTAGGATGACCTGAGTGTGCTATTTACCCCACTCCCACGTCTGCCTCCTGGCCTGGCAAGGATCATGTTGAACTTTAGCTCCCAGAGCCACAGTCTGTCCAGCTCTGAACACGAAGTTTGTAGTCCACACTGCCCATAGTAACTCTGTGGTGCTTTGTCTTGCTGGTTATTGTAGTGAATGATGTCTGGGCAAGGGATTTTAGAAAATACACCTGTTCTTTTAATTAAATTGTTCTTGCTACTTATGGACCTTTTTGCTATGCTCTTACCATTTATTTTTGTCTTTTAAATTAGATGCAGCTAGGATTTTTGTTTCTGAGGTTCCCTTTAAAGTGATTGGAGAAAGACAGGTCCATTTAGAGAGAAACTGAGATTTTTAATGGACTGAATCACCTGCTGGACCTCTGTGTGGGTAGTGGGGGGAGGTTAACATGACTAATATGCTAGCATCATCTGGCACCTGAATTCAGGTTGGGCTGAATATGAGCACGTTTGTTCATGATGCTGTTGATCCCTACTAGCAGCTATGAGAGATGCGCTGGCTTTGCGAGTGCTTAGCCTAGGAAGGATGCACATCAAACTTCGGATGCTGCCAGCGACACTGTCAGGCTGTTAGGTGCTCGATAAGAAGGCAGCTTCTCATCTGTCCCATGCTGGTAAGGTTCTGCACTGTGGGGATTTATCAGCTGGAAAGCTGGGGTGGCCAAGCAGTCTGTGGCTCTCCATTTCCCTTCACAATGAGAAATGAAGGCGCTTCAACCCTGATAGCTTGCTGCCTATCTGCCAGTTTAGCTGGGACTCTAAATCAGTTTCTTGCATATCAGTGGGCCACAGCTTGGAGGATACAGGTGGGCATGGAGGAGCAGTGACTGCTGGGCCATGCACACAGGGGTAAGTGAGCACACTGGTGCATGTGAACTCCGAGGGAACATGTTTGCAGATACACTTCCCAAAGGAGACTTGCGTTCAGGTTCCCCATGCTCTCACCTCAATGATATAGTCTTTTCCATCTTTGCTGTGGACGGCTTTGACAGCGCAGATGTCAAGACCTCCAAACATTTCCGCGCAGGCATCAGCCCAGAGTCTGTACCTGCAGAAACCACAGAAGCATGGCCTAGGATCAGCTGTCACTGGGCAGTCCCCCAAATACAGCCACCCGTCCACTGCACATAGGAGCACAAAGAGATTTGTGAGCCCTTTTTATCACAAAATATATGCTTCATATGCTGTACTGGGTCATTGCCTCCCTTTCTTGCACAGGAGACGGAGCAATAAAAAGGATCTTGCCTGAAGTTTCCCTTCATTTCAGACTGTTTCAATCCTACCCTCAAAGCCACCTTAAAATGTTTCTTTCTCTCCTTGGTATTTGCATCAGATCTCCAGTTAGTTGTCATTTAGCCAAGCTCTAAATATTTAGCTCATTTAATCTCCCAGTAGTGTTGGCCCCTTAGCATTTGTATTGGCTTTGCCTGAAAGCCCTTCATTATGCAGGCAGCTTTCTCCTGATAAGATGTCCTGCACTTTGGGGCTGGAATAGGATCAGAAAGTGAGTGCAGAATTTAGCAAGAGTAGCCATCCTCTCCCCGATCTGTAACCCAGCGGCTCCTGCTTTCTACAATTTACTTTTTCAATTTCATCTGTTTTACAGCCTCCTGCCTCCCTTCTATCCCCTGGGTGTTGCTCCTAGCCAGGCGGTCCCATCCCACAGACCAGGCACTGTTTTGTTAGAGGGAGAGCTACAGGCTGCAGCCCTTTCCTCTAGCCATCCCAGGATGGGAATGTGAGTTGGTGCCCCCTTAGCTATCCTGGTGTCAGAGGGGGAGAGAGAATGACAAGAGGCGTATTATGGGGGGACCGCATCCCCCTGCTGTGGAAATAAGGAGGGAATGAGGCGGCCTGGTTTTATTTCCTGTGCAGCTGCACCACAGTCCTGATCATTTCAATAAAAATAATAATCTCAGAACAGCAGATCTGTAAGCAGGACTATGACAAGAGGCAGAGAGGGGAGGGAAGGCCACAGTCTCATGAAAACGCTGACACTTTGCAGACCCTACAGGGACTGAGAAAAGAGCTGCTCTGGCCAAAGAACAAGTTTATGTCCTTGAAGCCAGCCGAAGTCCCCATAGCTTGACAATATAATGATCAACTTGTGCGAACACAATGTCTGTGGGAAGAAGCAAGAATACGGCTTGTATGACTACCAGTGCTCTTTTATCCCTCATGAGGAGACCAAGCACGTTCACCCCAGCCCCCTTGAAGAAGACAGTGCCTGAGGAGGAGTCAGTAGCATGAAGAGGAGTCAGTATCATAAGGAGGAGGAGAACTATGGACCCTGTGAGCCAGGCAGGAGGCGTGGTGAGCCCCTCTCATGCACTGCTGTGGCCCCATACCCAGGGGCACCATCGTGAGAACCACCTCTCTTCCTGAGGTATGTCTCTAGGTGACTGGGTTCAGCATTTTTTTCAGCCAGGCTCAGGGAATTGTTGTCCATGCCAGAGACCCTGATAGCTACATGTCTTCAACATTGCTGGCCCTAGGTAAGCACTGGGAGGGGTCAGGGCTGCTGGGGTGGAATAGCAGTGCTGTTGGACAGATGAGCTTATTTATGCATGTGCATCAGGGGTAGCATTTGCAGAGGATTTACTGCCATTTTGCCTAGTGTTACCTGAACCTGTCAATCCTTTGGGCTACTGTTCAGTACAGTAAGTACTTCAGATTGCTTCTACATATCAGAGCATTTCAGCACACTCCTGCCTTGTTGCATGCATTGATGACTCACAGATTTCAATGGGATTTCTTGCATTTATGGATGGATAAGACTGGAGTGGTGGTGAATTTTGGTACTACATCTATAAACTGAACCTTCAAAGTGCAGCATGGCAGGCTGGCAGGAATCTGGCTTTTAGTCCTCCTACAACACTGCAATGAGGGAATGTCTACCCTTCATCTCTCTAGCTTCAGCTGTGTTATAAACAGCCAGGATGCGTAATAATGTCCAGTTCCCACAGTCCTATTACAGTCTTGCAGAGTCACCTTCAGCATCTGATTTGGGGCTTGGCTTAGCTTGGCTTCCCTGTTTCACAGAACTGAAAGTGCAGAAGGGACTTTAGATGATCACCTGCACAACTCTTGTACCCCAGAGAGGAGACATTTCTTTAATCTGGTCTGAAAGAGTACAGAGATTCCTCATCTCCTCCAGGCAATCCATTTCTGTGCTATGCTATCCTTACTGTTAGGAAATACAGGGAATGTTCAAATGAATGTTTTCTGCTATAATTTAAGCCCATTATCTCTTACAGTATTTTACTAGTAATTTGAAGAGTGAGTAATGCTCTATTAGCAGCCTTTTACATATTTGAAGAGCTTGTACCCTTTAAGTTTTTTCATCTTTAGGATAAAGTGGTGTTCAGCTTGTGGACAACTTCTTCCAGCTCTGTGACAGCTAATGAAGGAAAGTGAACCTCTGCACTGCAGGCATAGATTCATTATGCTTGAATTTACACATTTACTGGAAAAATACCAGTGACCTGCTAAGTGAAAAAGCTGGAAAACTACAGAAGCAATTGTTGCATGCTTTTCTCATAGGTCGATCATGTTTTCTCTGAACATTTCCTTTATTGTCTTTTGGGCTCTCTCCAGCTCCTTGCTATCTCTCTTGAAATGTGGTGTCCAAACCTGGACAGAGTCAGAATTAAACATGATCCTGACAAGTTGGAGGTATAATCTGAAAAAAATCTTAGATTCACTAGGGATGAGTACCTACACGTAGTTTATGGATTCTATAAATCTACGAATAATTTACTTAAATAGGATGGAGAACAAGTGACTAGACAGCAGTTCTGTGGAATAGAGTTTGGGAGTTACAGCAAAGCATAAGTTACCATGAGTCAACAGTGTCATGCAGTTGCAATATTAGCAAATATCACAGTGATTTGAATATATGGAAGTACTATATGCAAATTTTAGTCTGTAAGATGCATAAGGCAATTCCTTTTGCTCTGTTCAGCGGTGAGAAGACATTAGCTGAAACAGTGTCCACTTTTGGGATACTAATGCAAAAAAGCAGTTTCAACACTTCAGCTGACAGATTTTTCCCTGTTGACCAGAAGCGAAGCACTTTTCTGTGTCTGCCTTTCATTAATAGTGTACTTAGAATAACTTCTTGTTACTTCTTGTTTTGTGCTGTGACCTTTCTGATTTTATCCCTATGTGTTTGTGCTTGTTGCTTGACCTTAGCATGCTGGTCTTGTTTCCTATGGCTACATTCACTAAAGATCTAATGATTTAGCAATGTCGGTCTCTAGCTGTACTTCCAGTCTGTTCTCCAAAATAGGACAGTTTGCCTTTGTGCCCTTAGTATTTTTTTAAGGAAACGCTCAGTCTTTTAAACTCCTTTATCCGGCCTCCCGGGAGACCTCACTTACCAGTTCTCTCAATTAACTAAAGTCTAAAACACAATTCGTCCCTTCTAACCCAAGAATAGCTAATACTGTCTTGAAACCCTCTTCCTTACCTCTCTGTCATTGCAATCTGTTCTAGCATCGCAGAACCTGTGTTTGCCTTCCAGTTTCCAGAGATGGACGTCCTCCTAGGAAAACAAACCAAAATCATAACCTGAACATGAAAATACGCTCCTGCCCCATCCTCCCTCATACTGTAGTCCTCCTTCTTGACTCAGTGCTTGTACAGGAGGGGACGAGGCGAGGTTCTTCCTCACAGAAGCCTTTCCAAATCCTGCATCAACAACACTATATACAGGATATGTTGTTCAGACTCATGAAAAACTGAATGAGGAGTTAGGCGGGGAAACCTCCAAGGAATCGTGAGCACACATCAAGCTCTATGAGTACTTTCTTTCTTTCTACATCAGGCCCAGGAGAGCTGAAATATGTGTAGGAGATCTCTGGGATAATCACCCCTGTGTTCTGCAATGGGTAACATCCTTCGTCCATGGAAGAGCAACTCTCCAGGCAAACATCTGCCTGAGCAGTTTGACAAATGTCAGCTCCGACATTTTAGATCTCCCTAACTTTGATTTCAATTGTACTGGTGTCACAGAATATGTGATTATATCCTCTTTTCACTGACTTTTAATTGACCTGTCTGTGGCTCACTCTGTCTTGACTTTGAGAATTTATAATTGCAAAACTATTGGAGTCTCGTTAGCTGCAACTGATCATTAATTTCAAAAAAAGGTAGTATTGCATCCATCAAAGGGTGAAAATTTTCCTTTTCTTGACCTTAAGCACAAGGCAGACCTTGGACAGCCTGCTGTGACAGCACTGTGCAGATAACCTTGCCATATCGTAGAAACTAGGACAAGTCAACAAGCTGACAGGATACTGGAGTATCTGCCAGGGAGCGTCTCCATACTGAAGAAGATTTATGAGGTGTGATCCAACACTTCAACATGAGGTTATGGGAACCCTCACTGCCAGTACTCTTACCTTTTCAATATGGCATGGAAAAGAGACTCTGAACTTCCAAAACAATGTGAAGCAGTGGTAATACTGGTGTCTAACCTGGATCATTATAATTGACTACCTAAGGTTCCCCTTTGCTCTGGTGAGGGACAGTCTGGAGTCCTTTTTCCATTTGTCTTCTAAAGTGGTATGTGTAGTTGCTGTGAAATTTAAATGATCTTTGTAACCATATTTAAAGGGGGAGGGGGAGGCAAAAGAGCAGGATTACTGTGTTGAATAACTGTGTTTCCATGTAGCTGACTCTTGTCCCTTGTTCCCTTCGCCCAACATCCATCTTCCTGCCCTACTTTCTAAGCAAAAGAATGGATTCCTCCTCAAGCTTTGATGGTTATGACATCTTTGATAGCCTGTAAGGTTCAACCCTCAGCCTCTCTTTTTCTTTTGGCATGGGATTCTTAGGATTACGTTTTTCAGTTCGAGAATGGGAAGAGCCACTATTTATTTAAACGTTTAGGTTCAGAAAATTGCCCTGCAGTAGCAGATAGCATCCAGAATCCCATTAGTACTGATAAAACTCCCAGAGTCTGATTAGTGACAAGATGATTGGATATCAGTGTTTAGAAAATGCACCTGGCATACCAAATATAAGCAGCTATGTTGTCCTTAAGAAAACCAAACCACAGCTATACAGTTTTACAAGGAAATTTGATGTGGGAAAGCTCCTAAAATAAGAACTTTGCTCTACCCGTTAGGCTGATTGGTTTGATTTGTTTATGCCTACCCATCTCCAGCCAATATTGGGCATAAAATATAAAATATTTCTCTGAGCTGTATCCTTAACTTTCCTGTTAGGGAACTTTCCTGTTTTTTAAAGGAAAAGCTTCATTTGAAGCTCTCTGGACCAGTCACCAAATTCCTACACCACAGCCTCTGTCAAGATCACTCCCGTCCAAGCATGTCTGAGCAGTTCAAGTGTCAAGTGTGCCAACAAATTCTTCTTCTTCTTTTCTTCTTTCCCTTTTTGTATTCAACCTGAAGT